CTCCATTCCCTTTGGTTTCCTTCCTTTGGCATACTTCATAGCCCTGCCTTCTCCACTTTCCTTCATCTTAAAAATAAAAGCGAAAACTCATGGGCCTGGCAGGGTAGCCTAGCGGCTAGGGTCGTTGCCTTGCATGGCATCCCATATGAACACCGGTTCTAATCCTGGTGGCCCCACTTCTCATCCAGCTCCCTGCTTGTGGCCTGAGAAAGCAGTTGAGGATGGTCCAAAGCCTTGGGACCCTGCACCCTCATGGGAGATCTGGAGGAGGCTCCTGGCTCCTGACTTTGGACTGGCTCAGCTCCGGCTTAGAGAGATTCACTTGGGGAGTGAATTTCCTAAGATCTTCCTATCTCTTCTCCTTTCTGTATATCTGACTTTACAATAAAAATAAATAAAAATCTTTAAAAAGAAGTAAAAAATCAATGAAAAGTCTTAAGCTTCCTGGTAAATGAGAGATTTTTTATATTCCAGTTAATAAGTGGTTTTCTTTTTAGAATTCTGTTATATATTTATCACAAAGTAGGAATGGTCTAAGATCCTGGGCCTTGCCCTATTCATTGATCCAAGCCTTATGTCTCCAATACTCCCCTAGGTTGGGTTTAAGGAAATGAGACATCAAGACCATATGTGTGACCTAGACTTGATGGAATTGAGATAATTAGACGTCAGGTGCTAGCAAAGTTATACTTGATGGTTAGAGACGAGTTGTTGGAATCAGAGAGTGGAGACCTGTAGCATCTCAGAGGGGGAAGGGCCTTGAGTGATCAAAACCCCTTTGGCAATGGGTGACCTGGGTGACATCCCTTGTCTTGTTCATCAGAAACGAGACCCAGGCCCTTTCTCCCACTCCAACCTCTGTGGGGACTTGGTAGCAGGACTTGAAGGACATTTTTTTTGTGAGAAGCAGAACCACAATTCATTTAGTGTGCAGAAAAGAATGGAATTAATTAAAAACTAAGTATATTTTGGTGCAAAAATGTTTGAAGTCCTTGCAGATAACAGATCTCCAAGATAGTCATAGAAAATGTATACTATACAAAAACAATGCTTGAATTTTAAAAGTTTATGCATCAGAATAAACTTATATCTTAGTTCCATTTTCCCTAGAACTTTGAAGTTATTGTATTTTACTTAGGTGAAAGGCAGAGTAACAGAAAAGGAGGGGAGAGGCAGAAAAAGAGAGAGAGAGAGAGACACCTTTCATCCTTTGGTTCACTCCTCCCACACCCACAACAGCCAGGACTGGGCAAGTACTCAAGTCTGGTCTCCCACGTTGGAGTTAGGGATACAACTGCTTGAGCCCAAACCCACTGCCTTGCAGGATGCACTTTAGCAGGAAATAGGAATCAGCAATGGAGTCAGAACTCAAACCCAGGCATTCTAATTGGTGTCTTACTTGCTATGCCAAATGCCTGCTCCCAAGAACCCTTTGACTTCCCCTTGGGTTTCAGGGAAATGAGCTCTTCCTGAATTTTCACACATCTACGCAATCATACTTTGGGACCAAAAATAACATAGCAGCTGAAATAAAATTACTGAATTATAACCAGGAGAGAGAAACTCTCCATACTGGGCATCCAACAGTTTTGGCAATTGGCATTATAGCTCAGGCAGCAGCAAATGCTCAACTCAAGGTGGCTTCGTCTGGCTTCATGGACCATTCAGGCTATGAGACGAGGATGAGACCGGGACAACAGAAGGAAAGGTCTTGGAGCAGATGTCTATGCTTAGCCTCCCTGTCAAGACAAGGCAGCCTCTCATTAGGAAGGAAAGATGCAAGTAGCCACTACACCCTGGGGGTTATACCTGTGTAGATATTTTGTCAGCCATTTACATTCATCTGTGCATTAACCAGGATGTAATTGTGAACTTAATATATGCATTTAACCAGAGCGTTGATAGTTAAGAAATTCAAGCACAGGGCCCACATTGTGGCACAGCAGGTCAAAATGCTATTGAGACCTGATATGTTATTGTTAGAGTGCTAGTTCAAGTCCTGGCTGCTCTGTGTGGCAATATGCCTAGGAAGGCAGCAGATGACAGCCCCGTTACGTGTTCTCCTGCCACTCACGTGGGAAGCCCAAATGGAGTTCCTGCTCCTGGCCCAGCTCTGCTCTTTGTGGCCATTTGGAGAGTGACCCAGCAGGTTGGTGATCTCTCTGTTTCTGCCACTGTCTCTGTCATTCTGACTTTCAAATAAATAAATCAGTCTTTAAAAAGGAAGAAAAAGAAATTCGAGCACAGCAAAGGGGCATTTTGGAAAGAGACCTGGGGAGATGGTAGTGCCCTCCACTGCTCTTGCTGCCAGCTCAAGGCTGCAGCCATGGAAGGCTCAGTCTGTGCAGCCTCCTGCAGATTGTAGATGGGATTAGTTTGCTGAGAATGCTAACCCCGTATTCCAGAGAATTTGACTTTCAATCACAAAGGATGCTATGAAGAGGCCTGATGCCAAGGTGAGAAGGGCCTGCAAGCCAGGAATTAGTGTGAGGGGCAAGGTCTCTGGTGGCCACCTGCCGAGTGAACATTCATTCCACCAAGCCAACTCGGGGCTCTTGCCTGGGACAGGGACTCCTATGCATCGACCTTGGCTGGAGCTTGTGGGGAGGGGTCCCCTTCCACCTCAGCTTATGCCTGTCCTCCCGCCCCATGTCTCTTAGTCACAAGGCCAGGCATCTAGAAAGCTCCCTCCTTGTTTTATCTGGCAGAACATTGGGACAATAATTGGACTGGGTTCAACTGGCCAGGAAACCAAAGCCCAGCAGAAAAATGCCTCATGAGTCCTGCCAACCTCCTGCTCCTTGCCAATCCCAGTGCGGGACAAACAGCCCTGCCAAAGTGCGGATTTGTGAGCGGGGGAAGTAAATTCTGTATGTGGAAGCCACATAATGGAAGTTATGTGCTTTCGGTTGGGGATGGGGGTGCACAAGCAAGCACAATGTTGAATCCATTCTGTGGCTCATGATGAGTTTCACTCCCCCACACACCCTCCCCTCCCCCGGCCTGGAAGGGAGTTGGTCCGGTTTGCAACAAAGGCGTTTGCCCCTGTGGCTTTGTGAAAAAGAATGTGTGCGCTTGTCAAAAGAGAACTTCTCTGCGTGCTTGGAAGGGTGAGCCTGTCTGCCTGCCAGAAAGGAGCAAGGCTTCGTCTGGTTGAAAAAGAGAAAAATTCCACCAAGCAGCCCCATTAGCCACTGCACAGGCCAGCCTCCCTTCCCTCAAAGATGTTGGTTTGCTGCTGCCAATCTAGTTTCCCTAGCTGTCTCCCTTTGCCTGCCTGAAGCAGAGAGCTGCCCTTAGGGGTCCATGTCTTCCCATCATGGAAAGGTAAACAAAACTTTTTTTTTTAAAGTAGGCGGGGTGGGGGGGATTGGTTTCAGGGCTCCAAGACTTGTGAGCAACATGTTGGTAAACAAACACTCTCTCCTTGCTCTCCAATCATTTTTGGAAAAATTCAGATGCAAAAGATAACCCTCCCCACTGCCTGGAGCAGGTGTGGTGTTAATCAGGTGATGGCTGTTAGGTTTGGAGGTGATTACGATTCAGAGAGGCCTTCGGTTCAGGCACAGAGTAAGAGACAGCCTGAGGAACTGCTCCCTGGCGGGAGGTGACCCCGGACCTCTTCCCCATGGCTAACTGACCACATGAGAAAAATGGCTGCTCAGCATATACAGCACTGGGCTTTTATAGTCTTAGTTGTAGGGGGTGGGAGAAGACAGCAGCTCCTCGGTTGGCTCGTGTCTGTGACATATAGCCTGGGATACTCATCATGGCGCATGCTGACCTTCTGTGCAGAGACAAAGTTAGGGTGATTTAGCATTGCGAACATTTCTGGATGGAAGTGTTGGCTTGACTCTGGCAGAGTGGTGGAGTCACTTTTGATCTGCCCAAGCTATCAATGGTGATGATAGGATCCTCTTCTAGAAGTCTGCTCTGGATTGAACCTCCCATCCCAGCAGCTCATTCATCCAAAGCAAGGCCCAGACTTCCGATCAGATATGACTTTGCGAGGACAGAAAACAACACAAATTTCTTCTACAAGGATCATTCAACTTTGATGCAATTGGCAAACATTGCCTTTCTCTCTCTCTCTCTCTCTCTCTCTCCTTTTATTTGGATTTTATGGTACAATTCCATAGGGTCTGGAATTCCACTGCCACCCAATTCCCACTCCTGACTGATTTACCCCATATTATTACAATAGTATAGTCCTTCAAAAGGAGTCATAATTTCATCAGTCTATTAAGTGTGCCCCGACATGGCTGGTACAGACAGTGACAGACAGTCCAGCATCCTGTCTAGGTATGTCGAGCAGTTTCATTGGGAGTCCGTCTTTGAAACATCGCCTTTCATGGCTTTGGATTACCATGGAGATCTTCCTAAGACTCAAAATTATACTTGGAACAGGCCATCGTCCTTGGAACAGGCCATCGCCCTTGGAACAGGCCATCACCCCTTTCCTCGTGGCTGCATCAGGCTTCTGTGGGACAAGTTTGGACAATAGGCCATTTCAGGTTGCAGGTGGATTCTGAGTCCCTGATAGTAACAGCTTCATCCATTTAATGTGAGTTTGAGTTAGTGTTTCCAAAATTATTGAAAATTCCAACACCCCACTGCCCACCCCCCCCACTGTTGGGTGGGAAGAAAGAAGGCAAACAGACATAATTACCTCATATTTGCTTTGTTCTTTCAATTATGGAAGCACAAGGCTTTGAGACTGCCTAAACTTCACCAAAGTTAAGAGTCAGCAGAATGGAGAACCTTTTTTCCAGATCTGATTCCTAAAACTGTCTCTGTGAGTTCCCAGACAGTAATGAAATATCATTGCAGTTGGGAATTGCAGTCTGTTCAAGGCAAACTTGTTTAGACGTAGCCAAGAGAGTTTATTGGTTTCTTAGTTAACAGTTGTGAACTGGTTGTTTTGTTTGTAAGTCACACCTGGAGCTCTGAGAATGCAAGCAGGAGGTTGCAGACTTTGCTGTCTATTTCATTCCAAACAGAACTTCATCTCTGCTCAAGAGGCTAAAGGTCAGCAACCTGGTGTAAAGATATATTGGGACAATGGATGAGACTTCAGGAGTAGTCTCCTGCCCTGAACCTGCAGATTTCCAAGAGGAGTTTGCCGCTTGGATTAGTAGGCCTCGCATGACATTCCTGGACTAAAAGGTAAGCTAAATGGCAAGAGCCCGGCTGTGATTCAATGCAAGCATACTAAGAAAGACAACAGCAAGCATTTACTAAGGTTGTGAGCTGAGATGTTGCTATGGGCATGATCTAGAACATTCACTGAGAAAGATTCTTGCCAGAAATAATTAGATCTGGACTTAGGCTTATATACCTAGTGACCAGTTTATTGGAAACGTAGGAAACAGAGGAATATGCTCTGTGATATTATATGAAAGAAAGAAGCCACTTCTGTGGGCTAGAAGGCTTGCTCCTTTCAGTATATAAATGACATTGAAAACATTGGTGAGAAGAAACTTATCAATTAACAGCAACTTCTTAGATACATCTTCAGGAACAAAAACTCATTTGAAACCTAAATCAGTCAGCCCATTTCTGAAAAACTCTTTTTAGATGATCTGAGGAGTTTGAACAAAGGCAAGATATTGGATGGTCTTAAGAGATATTATGTTATGAATATTTTAAAGATAAAATTCCTATCTTTATACAGAAATCAATTGCTGATATTTGCTTTTTAAATATTTTAGTGAGGAAAGTGATATGTTGGTTAAAAGGAAAAAAGACTAGTAAAGCATTGATGTTTAGGTGAGATATCAGTGAGATTTCAATACAGTTTTCTCTGCTTTTGTGAATGACACAAATTTCCAGAATATGGTTGGTTCTGTGAGGCTGCTGTGAGGCACAGCCTTTCAGACAAGGAAATCTTCAAAATGTGCCACCTACTTCCTTTGTGGGGGGGAGGAGTTGTTCCAGGTCGCAGGGTACAAACACAGAGCCTGGGGAGGGGGAATGCTGGCCTGGAAGATTCTGGCCTTGGTCAGTACTCGGTCAGTACTTTACACAGGCTAGTCAGTACTTTGAGCATAGAACCATCACAGCTGTGCCTACTACGCTCATCCTCCTGTCTCAGCTCTCACCTGTCTTCCATCCATCCTCACACCTATGCTGACCACCCAACATGTTGCTTCTTTGGGAAACAGAAGGAAAAACCAGTGTCCCACTCTTGAGGTGAGTCCACTATAAGTACACAGAGAATAGACAAGTGAGTTACACTCTCACACCTGAGGCATTCTTTTTTTTTTTTATTTAAACAAGAGTTATCTATTTATTTGAAAGGAAAATGATGGAGGAGGAAAAGAGACAGAGACAGAGAGATTCTGTCTCTCTGATTTTCTGTCTGCTGGGTTCATTTTCCAAATGGCCACAATGCAGGCCATCCTCTGCTGCTCTCCCAGGTGCTCTAGCATGGAGCTAGAGCAGAAGCAGAGCAGCTGGGATGTGAACTGACAGTCTAATATAGGATGTTAGTGTCAAATGGCTTAGCTCACTGCATCATAATACTACCTCGCCGCTAAGCATTCTGGATCCTACAATCAGGCTTCCCAGGGCAGGTAATCATTGCTAAATCATGACAGTCACACACCAGTCTTCAATGGTCTGATGAATTTGGTCACAGGTGGATGCTTTTGAGTGCCTGTCAGGGTTCGCTGATCCTTCAACTAGGATCAGAGCAGCCAGCCTCTTCTTTGCTGCCTAGCAGTGCAGCAAGGGTACCCGATCCGAGCATGGGTATGCAGGAGCCATGCCTCCTCGCTGCAGGCACTTTTCTGCTGACTTGGTTCCCCAGCCCTGAGGCCATGTCTCCTAGGACCACCACCTCCAGGTGGCACATGGCAAGGAATGCTGGCAGCATTGCCCCCACCTTTCTGGTTGGCTCAGGCTGTTTGAGCACAGAGTACGTTGGGTCCTGGGACAGTGGTTTCACACATCTCAATTCCATGCTCCACCGTTTCCTTCCCACACAACAGTCTATCCACTTTGCTGCTCTTCTCTGGGAACATTCTGTCACAATCTCTCCCATCCTCCTCCACAGTTGCTTTATTTAGGGAATTCCAAACAGTTGTTTGGACTAATTGAAAAAGGATATTTGAATAAGAGCAAGTCTCTGGTGAACGGAAAGGCATCATTAGGGAATGTTTTGTTCTGAAACAATCTCGTCTCTGTGCTGCATGCACTCTTCCTCTAACTGTTCATTAAACAGTTTCACACATACACAGGTCAAGTTGATGGCTTTGAATCTGGCATCCTTGACATCTCAAGTCTCACAGAAGTCCTTGAGGGGCTGCCACTGGTGGCAGAAGAGGAGTGGAATGGTAATGGGACACAGAAGCCTATAGGTTCCCACCCCCATCGCACCTCAAAGAACTCCCCTTTTGTTGGCTACAGTTATTAGAGTTATGAAAAGGACTTAGTAAAAAGGAAAAAAAAATATCCCTGTCTAAAAAATATATACACACACTCAAAGTTAAACAAACAAAACAGCTTCTTTGGTAAATCCTCTAACCCGTTGTGAATTTACATCAGTCTTTGCTCAAAGCATTGAAAATGACCCCTTAAGTTCCCGGAATCTGCTACTAGCATTTTTGTTTGTTCTGATTGTTTTGTTAGCAAGCCTTTCCTTTGTGGCTATCTCAGAGGGACACCAGTGCAGCCTTATGTGATCTCACAGACTGGGGAATCAGGGGAGTTCAGTGTCACCCCAGTAGCCAACATTCCATTACACTAATGCCCTGTGGCCCCTTGTGTCTACCCCAGATCCCATTGGATGCTTAGGGAATAACGGGGATCAGCAGTTGCTCACTGAACTTGAAATCTGAGCAGTTTGTTGCCTAACAAGCCAATTCAGTAAGTCTGAGTTGCCTGGGCCACACCCTTCTCATTCCGGCTACACCAATAATCCTCTCAACCAGGGGCCGAGCGACACTGGACAGCGGTTACCCCACTCAGAGCAGCCCCAGGAGCTCACTTCTGCCTTCTTGTCACGATTTCCAACCAAAATTGACAAAGTCACCACTTGTTAACGGTGAAGAAGCCTCATTTGTTCAGAGCACAACGAGGAGGCCAGTGTCTCTTCCAGAATATTCTTCGAGGCTCGAGAGAGATTGCATTAAACGGAGGAGAGAGCACAAACTGGGGTAAGGGGAGGCAGGGAGTCGGATTCAGACAGCTGTTATAGTCTCTGCTAAAAAACAGAAAACCTATTCCCTGTCCTACAGCTGGGGATAGGACATGTCTGTTGGCGAAAACTCCAAGCAATCTGTTGTTAACTCAGTACAAGAGATGCGATGATGGCACAGATGTGGTCCTGTGCCCAAAGAGCTTACAGAATAGCCAGGCAGCCAGGATGTGTTCCAGCAGCTAGAAAAATACATAGCATAGATGGTGATGCTTTGAGGGATATGGGCGCCAAGGAAGTGCTGCGGATGGCGCACAACCCCAAAGGCCTAGACTGGGGGGTTGTGAGCTGCTCTACTTCTGCCTGTGACTTGAGAGGTACTGCTGAATGCTCCCGGCCAATCTGCGGCCCCTTCCATGCAGACAATGCTTTGCAGGGCAAAGAGGATCCCTTTTAGCCACTGTAGGACCTCATGGAGACTATATCAAGGCTGGTATGTTGGTGCCAAAAAGCTGAATGGCACTTAACACAAAGGGATGAAGAGTGACTAACTCTGTTTGGTATGATGTTGGAACCAGAGACATTCTTTATTTCAAAACTGTATCACTGGTTGACCCTCTTCTAAAACAGAAGCTCTTTTTATTGCTGCTATTGTTGTTAAAAAAAAAAAAAAAAAGGAGGGGGTGTTGATAAAGAGCCAGCGGCACGTGCACATCCACAGATGTCCTGGACTGGCAGGTTGCATAAGAAGAAAGAGGAACCCGGGGTTCCAGCTTCTCTGTGGTTCTACCTCAGGGGAATTTCTGGTCCTTGGCTTCTCCTATTCCTTCATACACTAACCCATTTGGCTAAGGACTGGATGCACACTCCTGAGAATACTACTTTAAAGCCAGAAATGCTCTACTCCTCAAATCACAAATCTGCCTGCTTCTGTTCCCTCCCTTTCTCCTTCTTCCTTGTAAAATGAAGGAGCAGCTCTTCTCCCACCTTCCAAGGGAGCCTCTCTTCTCAGTTACCTGCCACTTTGTTCTGCTGGTTCCTTCCCACCAGTATCAAAAGCATACTAGATCTCTACCCTGTGAAAAAATAAAGTAAAATAAAACCTGTCTCAGCCCACACTGTCTCCAGCCAATCCCCTGTCCCTGACTCTGAAAAAGCTTGTCACTCTGTGTCCTCCACTTCCTCACTTCGCCTCATTCCTCCAGCCAGGCTAAGCAACCTCTGTCCTGGTCACATTGCCGAACATGCACCATTTCCACTGCCATTGCCTACCATGCTCCTTAACTGAAAATCCGTATCCCACTGTTGAGGTCTTGTGCGAGAACACTATCTTAGCTCTGAAGATCAGCTTGCAAGCCTCAGTTTGTGTTTCTGCAACATTTGACATTTTCTCTTACCTTAGACTTGATGGTACTGATTTCCACTGGTCCATTAACTTGCTCTAATTAAAAAGGTTGTTTTAAAATCTATTTGCTTTATTTGAAAGCTGGATAGAATGATAGAAAGAAGGGAGGGGTAGAGAAGAGATGTTTTCCATCCACTGTTTCATTTTCCAAATGCCCGTAACAGTTGAGCTATGCCAGGCTGAAGCCAGGAGCCAGGAGTCAAAACCTTTATCCAGATCTCCTCTGTGGGCGGCAGGGTCAACCAGGTGAGCTGTTACCCTTTACTCCCAGGCACCCTAGCAGGAATCGGGATCACAAGTTCCAAGTAATCAGGACTCAGACTGGCACTCTGATACTGGATGTGGGCATCCCAAGAAATGGCTTAACCCATTGTGCCACCACACTTGTCCCTTGTTTGGCTGTTTTGTTTCTGCTTATTTTGCTAGAATAGGGATCCCACTGAATGGCACAGAGTGGGGGACATAGAAAGGCATACAAAGTTATGGAGTGAGTGATGGATGATATTGTGATTCAACCCTTATCAGGAATGAGTTCTGCCACTACTTAGCCAAAGATTTCTTAGGGCCCAGGGCCTGTCAAGCTCTCAGGTTCACCCTCATCATCTGAGCATCTTGTTCAAA